TGTTACCTTTCTTGTAACAGTGTTGTAGCTTTACAGCCTTTTCTGTGGTGTTGAAAGAAAGGTAACATTTCTTTCAACGCTGTTGTAGCTTTACAGCCTTTTCTGTGTGTTACCTTTCTTTCAACACTGTTGTAGCTTTACAGCCTTTTCTGTGTGTTACCTTTCTTTCAATGCTGTTGTAGCTTTACAGTCTTTTCTTTCTGTTAACTTACAGATCTTACTTTTATGTATTTATAATACATAGATGAATGTAGTTTTTCCTATTTTTGATAATTGATCAATACAATTTTAATTAGTTTTTCAGTTGTTTTTTGTTTTGATTTAATAATTTGCATGAAACATGAAGTTTTTTATTATTTACGAAAGGTCTGAAAGCCAGAAAACTATTTTTTACCAAAATATTTAGTGGCTCTTTTCTCCCCTGATTGTTATCACTGAAAACCTTTCTTTAGTTTTGTTTCTAGTATAAATTATTTATATTTGTTGAACACTTTTGTTTGTTCTTCAACCAATATGTAAACTAACATTACAGCCACAGAAGAAGCTCATACAGATCCTTTGGGAGCCACTCAGCAGACGGATAGAAATGGAGAAGCAGAAGAAACAAGGCAGCAGTGGTTTTTGGGTTCCGAGTCAGACCTAGTGAAGGACGGGTTGTCAGAAGTCTCGAGAGATAACCAGTTAGCTTATGATCAGATTGAAAGAATGTCGAGTGTGTTACCAACAATGTGGCTTGGATCCCAAGATGGCAGGTGAGTGTGTTGTATTAGTTTATTAATATTTGTACATCATTGGAAAGAATGTGAAGTGTGTTACCAACAATGTGGCTTGGATCCCAAGATGGCAGGTGAGTGTGTTGTATTAGTTTATTAATATTTGTACATCATTGGAAAGAAATGTTGTTGTATGTTTGAGTAAAGTAGAACATGTGTGTGTGGACAATAATGTTTAACTGTACCAAAAACATAGTCATTGTTTTTGTTGAATGTTAAGTACTTGACCAACGCATCATCAATCACTCTGACTGACTGCAAAACGTATGTAAGGGACAGCAATCATAGCACAAGTGTATTAAATCCAATTGAATTTCAAAAAGAAATGTTTAAAAATCCCCATTCTTCATTTTTCTATGTCACGTGATGTTTCAAATTTTGTAACACTAGAAATAGATTGCTATAGTTTACAAACAAATAAAAGTTCATCATGTCTGACTGTAACTCACAGAAAGAGCTGGTTCTCCTCTACATAAATCTTACAAGCTGTTGTTTATTTTTGATGTTATAAAAGTTAATATAATATAATATATTGTTTATATCTATATATTTTACCTATTGTTATAAAGATAATCAGACCTTTGTTTATATCTATATATTTTACCTATTGTTATAAAGATAATCAGACCTTTGTTTATATCTATATATTTTACCTATTGTTATAAAGATAATCAGACCTAAAATATATAGATATAAACAAATTCTATTGTTATAAAGATAATCAGACCTTTGTTTATATCTATATATTTTATCTATTGTTATAAAGATAATCAGACCTTTGTTTATATCTATATATTTTATCTATTGTTATAAAGATAATCAGACCTTTGTTTATATCTATATATTTTATCTATTGTTATAAAGATAATC